TTGTAGAAAAACATGTTTGCGCTTCTATAGCAATCAATACCATGTCATTTTTAAAATCTCACGCATGAAAAGGACATCTGATATCAGGACAGTATAAATCTCAGGAATTTAAAATTCTTGATATTGTTAAACTAACAATTAAATTTCTGAATAAAAATACTGTTAAATTCGCCCTCATGAATTTGTTCGAATTTAAAACACTTCTAATCTTTACGCATGATTGAATAAGCGGCAAGTCATAAAGTAGGCTTGGATTCCTCGCAGTAACTTATAATTTTCTGCGATGCAAATTCATTAAAGAATATATTATAAATATCTCTACACAAATACAACTCTAGCTATACACTATAACAATATATTGTTAATAATATACTATGCCGAACGTGTTGTACTTAGAAGTTACTGTGAGCACCTCGATACATACTATACCAATATCGGACTTGTGTATGATTATAGAACCCCAACCCTAATAGCGCCAAAGAAATATCCGTGCAGTACTAACACAACTTCATATACTTACAATTAGAATACTAACCAAACGAAACCAAATTAGTTCTACAAGAAGTCTAAAGATAGAAATAGAAAAGGGAAATCCAAAAATAAAAGAATAGAAATAAATGTGGTTGTGATCAGTGCTTGAAAGATTAAAAATTATATATCTAGAGTATAAAATTGAGAATGGAAATGGGGAATGTGTCAAAGAGACAACAACCCGACCATAGAACAGACAACAGCAGAAGGTCACCAACAGGTCTTCAATGCAGCGAGAAATTCCCGCACCCGGAGGCGTCCTTCAGCTGGCCCCTAAACAAATATATATACTAGTTCAGTGATAATGAACGATAAACAATATTTGGTTTCAGCTTAAATAAAAAAAAATCATTGGGCTTTCAAATCACACTAAATTTGCATTTTCCTTCTCGACACCTTTTTATTTTTAATTACGTTCTATAAATATTACATGTTCCGTTAATAATAAATGCGAAAAACATATTAATGTAACTGGAGGTAAATGCGTGCAAGGTTACACCTTACACAAGTCAACAAAAGTAATGATTCAAGACATTTCCGTAAATAATGAAATTAGGTACACGGAACCAATGTGAAACATTGCTAAGTTAGTCTAATATTTATAGAGAGTTGTTTTCTTATTAAAGCCATTGACTAAAGGTAAAATTGCGAAATTTTTTATTCGCAATTTTATTGATTTCTAAAACATTTTTTCACCCAAATTTCCAAAACTGATATTAGAACTTAAAAATTTTCTTAATGCAGAAAATTTATACTTAATTCTCACGGTTTTTTTTGTGTAATTTAAGTAACCAATACATTGTAGAGACCCTCAAATGTTCAGAAGAGACCCGAAGCTGATATGTGGTATTGATATATAAAAATAAGGAGATGTCGTATGATTGCCAATGAGACAACTACACACCAAAGTTCAAATAAAGTGGATGTAAGCAATTATAGGCAACCGTACGGCCTTCGACAATGAGAAAATCCCATACTATATAGTCGTCTATAAAAGGCCCCGACATGAAAAATATGAAAAAAAAAAAAATTGAGAAAACGACCGGCCTAATTTGTATCAAAACAATTTACGAAAAACAAATACGACATACATGAACCAACGACAACCACTGAACAACATGCTCCTGACTGTGGGACAGGCACATAATGAACGTGGCGGGGTTAAACATGTCGATATGATTGTTTACTATACGACTTTCTGTGAGTTGCAAGGACTTGAATGTAAAAGAATTTATAATATCATTCTTAAGAATCATGTAGTATTTACCTGTACCAAGTCAGGAAAATGGCCATTGTTATATTATAGTTCGTTTCTGTGTGTGTTACATTTTAATGTTGTGTCGTAGTTCTCTTATATTTGACGTGTTTCCCTTAGTTTTAGTTTGTAACCCGGATTTGTTTTTTTTCTCAATCGATTTATGAATTTCGAACAGCGGTATACTACTGTTGCCTTTATTTACGCCATACCATAATATCATAATATGTCCATTACGGGCTAAAGAAACAAGATACAGGACTATGCACACATGTATGGTGAGGAAATGATATCAGTTGTAAAGAAATAATTCAGAAGTTTTTAAAAAAGATATATTACAGTTCAATTTAATTGTCGGCACTCCTGTGTTGACATGTAATATAATTTTACACGACCATTTTCTCAGTTAATTTACAGTTTAAAAATGTTGAAATAATCGAAACACTACGGGTTTTGGGCAGCAGCTAAACAGAGATAAGATTTAACGAAAAAAAAACTGTGCATTAGTGTAAGAGCACTTTTTGGCTCTATCAGACACATAAATCCTAGGCTATTTTGAATTTTTCGATATTATGTTACTTTTATTATTCTTCCCTTAGTTTATTTATATTGTATTTACATTGTGTCATAGGTCAAATTTATTTGTTCAGTGTATGTTCAATGGTGTTAATATGTCCTTTGATTGAGTTAAGCTATTTCAGTTGATATTTTATAGTGTGTCTTTCTATGTTGTGATGTTACACTATTGTTTCAGAAAAAGGGTGAAGGTTTGGTACCATTAAAACGTTTAAACCCGCTGCATTTGTCCTAAGTCAGGAATCTGATGTTCAGTAGTTGTCGTTTGTTGATGTGGTTCATAAGTGTTTTTCTCGTTTCTCGTTTTTTATATAGATTAGACCGTTGGTTTTCCCGTTTGAATGGTTTTACACTAGTTATTTTTTTGGGCCCTTTATAGCTTACTGTTCGGTGTGAGCCAAGGCTTCGTGTTGAAGACCGTACTGTGACCTATAATGGTTTACATTTATAAATTTTGACTTGGATGGAGAGTTGTCTCATTGGCACTCATACCACATCTTCTTATATCTATTAAATGTTTTCGTCACACATTTCATCAGCACTACTGAACAGAATCACTTCATATTTGATCAGCAGCTTGGCATTGATGAGTTGTAAAGTGTGTGCGCTTCAAAAACCGCTCATATATACTTCCTGTTTTTTCGATACTTTGAATTATTACGAGTGGTGTATGCTCAGTACGACAATCCGTATTTTCTTGTTTTTGTCATCCGATCGTTTGAATTACACATTCTATTCGATTTCTGATGTCCTGAATAAACGTTTCATAAAGAAGTCATTTCTTTCATTATCATGTTTCGAACGACCGTTGTCAGCATTCAGAATAATTTAGATATATATAAAGTATCATCTGTACTGTTATTCGTCTGTTTGTCTTTTTATTTTTGGCCATGGCGTTGTCAGTTTGTTTTCGATCTATGAGTTTGAATGTCCCTCTGGTATCTTTTGTCCCTCTTTTAAAAACTAACAGGAATCGACGGTTTAAATGTACCCCCTTTTTTTTACTAAGAAAGAAAAACCAACAAAAATCGTGTAATAAAAGGTAACTCGACAAAATATTGAGGACAAGTTCACATCCTGCTCACATGTATCCTACCTTATTCCGTGATTTTTTTCATTTTTGTCGAGCCTGCGACTTTTGTCGCAAAAGCGAGACATAGCGATCCTACATTCCGTCGGCGTCGTCGTCGTCGGCGACGGCGTCGTCGTCGTCGGCGACGGCGTCCACAAATGTTCACTCTGTGGTTAAAGTTTTTGAAATTTTAATAACTTTCTTAAACTATACTGCATTTCAACCAAACTTGGACAGAAGCTTGTTTATGATCATAAGATAGTATCCAGAAGTAAATTTTGTAAAAAAAAAATCCTGTTTATCCGTATTTTACTCATAAATGGACTTAGTTTTTCTGCCAGTTAACATTACATTCACTCTGTGGTTAAAGTTTTTCAATATTTTTAATAACTTTCTTAAACTAGCCTATATTTTTACCAAACTTAGACAGAAGGTTGTTTTTAATCATAAGATAGTACCCAGAAGAAAATTTTGTAAAAAAAAATCCTGTTCATCCGTATTTTACTCATATATGGACTTAGTTTTTCTGCCAGTTAACATAACAATTACTCTGAGGTTAACATTTTTCAAATTTTATTAACTTTCTTAAACTATCCTGGATTTGTACCACACTTGGACAGAAGCTTGTTTATGATCAAAAGCTAGTATCTAGAAGGAAATTTTTAAAAAATTTATTTCCTGTTTTACCGTATATTATTTATAAATGGACTTAGTATTATTCCAGTTAACATTACGTACAGTCTGCAGTTAAAGTTTTTAAAACATTTATTAGATTCATAAACCTTCTTGGATTTTTACCAAACTTGAACAGAACTTCTTACAATCAAAAGATAGTATCTAGAGGAAAATTTCTAATATGTGTTTCCCCATTTTTGTTAAGCCTGCGACTAACAGCAAAAGTAGGCGAGACACTGGGTTCCGCGGAACCCTTACGAATTTTTAGTTTTCCACTCTTTCCGAAATCTTCGTTCCGTTAATCTCAAAGAATTCTATAATCCTTTGACAACCACTAGATAGATATTTACCTGATAAATTAGCAAAAAAAGGTTGACAGAAATATTGATAGTTTTGGCCAAGTACACATTTTTTTCGTGGAAAATCAATACTATTGTTCAAGTCACTTCTTGAAAATGAGACAGTCACGTTGAACTTTGCAATTTACCGTTTCAATTTTCAGTAACAAACAGTTCAAAAGAAAACACAAAATCAGTCTCAACTAAACAATTTGTTTAACACAAGGTCTCATTTTTGGGACCGTGTGAACAATTGAATTTACGAACTATGTATTTTTTCAAGGATGTGAAACAGCTTGCAATATTGACTTCATAATATTTTTTAATGAGTAAATATCAGTTGTCAGTACTAAGACAAAATACATTTCTCGGTGCAATCTTAATTTCATTAATTACTGCTACATACGATTTTCAGACAGTAACTATAATACTATTCAAATGGCAAATGTTATTTGGTGGTCTTTAACTTTTGTTGTTTAGTATATCATAAAGTGGTACGTCAGTTGTAATTTCAAAACGAATGTGTCCTTGATAATAACAGTTCATACTTCAGTGAGTTAAAGTAGAAATGTTTAAAGTATAAAGATTAATATGATATAATGTTATTTCTTTTGCATTATAATAAGTTATGCAGAAGTTTAATATTTACCCCTCTCCGCAATGGTTGATTGTCCTATGTGGGTTTGTTTGTTGTATTCTTGGAACATCGATTCCTGATATATCAGGGATTATACATTTAGAACTGTTAGAAAACTTTTATATAACAGACGTGCAGGCAGCTTGGGCAGGATCAATATTCAACAGTATGTTTATGATCAGTGGTAAGTTGGAAATGAAGCATGGGTGATTGGTTTTAGTTTAAATAAACCACTGGAGGTTAGTACAAGTTGAAAATAATAAAGCTCGAGAGGTAGGTAAACATGAATCATGGCCTCTATGTTAGCCAGGGTACAGAAATATAGCTACTTTTAAGTATTAGACTGTCTTTTAAAATGATAGGCAACTCCTTTTATTCAGAGGCCACATTGAATCCTCCTTCTGGCAGTTAAATATTTGCTAGGGACTGTGTGGGATGTTTAAATACACCGCCATGAGTGGTTAGATCGGAACATTTTACAAATGTCCTGGTGCCGGGCAAGTTGTACGCTCTCAGCCCATCAAAGATATGCCAACTACTCTTTCGAGACCTGTTTCGAGGCAAATTATTTTCCCTGTGAAGTATGAGGGTCTAGATTGGGGTCCTTCATTGCTGTATTCTTAATTGTTTATGTATTTTTTTTTTCTAATCTTTATATTTTTTGCACATCATTCTCAATTCTTTATATTGAAGCACCCCCTTATTCTTTATTTTTGGGCCTATTTTTCTCTATTCGTTATTTTTAGCTCATTTTTCTGAAGTATTGACCCATTATGATTTATTCTGTTGAACCCATCCAGACCCTTATAATTTGCGGCAGTGCAAACTTCACCAACAATTTTCTCGGTTCATCTACTTTTCAGAACCTACTTAGTTGATTAAATATTATCCTTATCAGCATGCAGGAGATATTTGTCACTGAACTTTAAGCTAACAATAATTAATTATAAAAATGCTTAGTTCTGTCATTTTTAAAATTCTTGCTATCACTATCAGATTGTAGAGAAACATTTTGCGCTTCTACATTAAAATTAGAATAATACTTTATATATTTCATGCGTCCGATGCGCTTTTTTTTTACTTTCATCGGGAAAACTTTTTTTACTTATTGATCTCTTCATTTCGGTTCCTTAAATGAATATTACTTAGGATTCAAATTGAGTATTATTGCGAACCCAATGAAAGTTTTCCACAGTGCCATCTCTATCTTGACCAGGTATTTAAACTTTTGCAAGTTCACCTGTCCTATTGAATAAATACAATAGCTATTGTTCTCTGTGTAGTTTATTCTCTGGGACCTTTAAATTTCTTCTAAGAGAAATCTATCATTCATGATTGATTAAATTACCTGAGTAAAAAAAAAATCTTATATATAGACAAAAATACTGTTTTTATACTCGATTTTAAACCCGATATTCGACTTTAAATGATAGAAGGCAAGACATTTCCAGTAAATAATGAAATTAAGTACACGGTACCGATGTAAAAAGATTGCCAAATTGGTCGAGTGTCGTTTTCTTATCTAAACCAATGATTTAATTTATAATTGCCAAATTTTTTATGCTCAATTTTATTGATTTCAAAAATATTTCATTCACCCACAATTTCCAAACCCGATATTCGACTTTAAAGGTTGAAAAATGAACATTGTCTCATTACTATTCTAAATGCAGACATTTCATTCTGAATTCTTATCTTCGAAATTAATTGAATGTCATATTTTCGTTATCATTTTCTGCAAAACAATTTGACCCCTGTGTTCATTAACAAAATTTTTAAGATTAATTCAGTCACAGAAAATAATAAGATCTTCTTAAAAAAAAGAAAAACTGATTAATAATATACAAAAATGAGAAGCTGTCGTATGATTGCCGATGAGACAAATATCCATAAAAGACCAAACGCCGTAGTTGTAAATCAACTCATCATAGGTAAGCAACTTATGGTTACCGTACAACCTTTTAACAATGAGCAAAACACATGCCTTATAGTAAGCTGTAAAAGATCCCAAAATGACAAAATGTAAAACAAAAAACCAACGGCCTGATTTAAAACAATAATCGAAAAACAAATATGATAGATACCTACCAACGGCAAGCATTAAATTACAGAATCTGAGGTAAATACAGAATGTGGCAGGTAAAACATGTTAGCGAGCTTGAGATTGTGGTGTTACAAAACATACTATGAAAATCAGTTGAAAAGAGTTGACTCATTAAGTAGACACAAAGTTACAAAAACAACTAAGACAAAGATTAAAGACACAACATATCAACCGAAGAGTATTTACAGTTATTGAAAGCTAGTTCAAAGATAATTTCAACTAATAGACAAATCATGTTTCCAAAACTACTGTGACTTGACTGTTAGTGTTGCTCTCCATCTATTGCAACTTATTCAAAATTCTGACCAAATTGCAATTTGTTTTATAAAATCAAACTGTTCAACTGGTCAGAAATTTGAATAAACTGCTGTAGAAAACCACAGTCAAGTCGTGAAAGTGCAAGGTGATAAAATAAAGCATACTTACAATCCTATAAGACTTTAATTCCACTTCAATGTTATTACGAAAAATCAGTCTAACAGTTTGTATAGAAATTATATTGTTATCGTCATGCTTAAGGTGATAGGTAGTTATTTGGATCGCTATAAACATGTCCAAACTAAGCTTTCATACATTTTTTCTTTCGAAAAGTCTTCCATATATAAAGAATCAGACATCATTTGAATTAGAACATCTTATATTCAGTAAAATATATGTGAAATTACAATACGTTGTTTATAAGTTTCCATGGGAGATAACCTAAAACATTATTCTTTTGAATATAGAAGACTTTTCGAAAGAAAAATTGACTAACTCCCATGGAAACTTCCTAAAAACGTATTATTATTATTTTATATTATCACAGTATTATGAAAAATCAGTCTAACAGTTTGTATAGAAATGTTATTGTTATTGTCATGCTAAAGGTGATAGTAGTAATTTTGAATTGCTCTAAAAATGTTCCAAAATAAGCTTTCATACAATTTTTCTTTTGAAAAGTCTTCTATATTCATAAGAATCAGATATCATTTGAATTAAAACATTTTATATTCAGTGAAATATGTGTGAAATTACAATACATACTCTAGACACATTATCTTACAATACATACTCTAAACACAAACATTTTTCGCGAGCGATTTATTTACGCCTTTTTCCATGCAAAACACTAGAAAACTAACGCGAAATATAAATGTAGGTAACAGTAGTTTACCGATGTTCAAATCTCAAAGATCGATTGAGTAGACACAAAACAAGGTAACAAACAAAGACTGAAGGAATAACATGAACTTCTAAAAGAGCGAAACTAGACGCGTCGACAAGGTAAAAGTAACCTGTTATGCATGCATCACCCGTCATGTGGGGGGCCTCGGTGGCCGAGTGGTCTAAGTAGTTACTACTGTAATCACTAGCCAGTCAACACTGAGGTTGTGAGTTCGAACCCCGCTCGTGCGGGTGCACTCGACTCCAATCTTAATTGACTAGGATTGTCAGTTTTCCTATCGAAGTTCGGTGGTTTTCTCCGGGCACTCTGGCTTCCTCCACCAATAAAAACTGGCCGCCACGAAATAGCCCAAAAGCGGTGCTTAAAAGTGGCGTTAAACACCAAAAAATCAAATCAAATCACCCGTCATGTGTATCGTCCCGAATATTTCATTTTTAAAAAGACAGCACTTAGTTACACTTTATTCTCGTGCGACCGAGGCGATTTTCTGGATTAGCCTCCATGAGGAACACCCAAATCCAAAATAAATGACCAAAAGCAACAGTAAAAAAGCCAAAAGTTTAGAACGTTTTTTTAAATGTACCTGCGAATATTATTTTAGGCTGTAATTGAGTTATATATCGTCTGTTGTTTATCATATTTGTTTTCGTTTATTATTTTGAATAGTTTGTTCTGGTGTTGTGTCGTTAGGGTATGGTACGCATGTTTAACCCCGTAACATTCTGTATGTGCCTGTCCCGAGTCATGAGCCTGTTATTCAGTGTTTGTCGTTTGTTGCTGTATATCTTATTTATTTTTCGTTTATTGTTTTGTGCATAAATCAGGCCGTTAGTTTTCTTGTTTATATTGTTTTACGTTTGTCATGACGGGGTCTTTTATAACATGCTATGTGGAATGGGATTTGTTCATTGTGGAAGGTCGTACGGTGATTTACAGTTGATAACGTATACGTCAGTTGGTTTCTGCTGGAATTTTATTTCATTGGCAATCATACCACATGTTCTTATTTTTATATTGTTTACAGTAGACTATTTTCCAGGGGCGTAGTCCTCTCTCCACACACACTCTCTTTTGGTCAATAACATACCACTAGCTGTGTGTTGGCTTTCGAACGTTGTGATAATAAGCATTTTTTCAATATTTGCACATGCAAATGTTCTATATGGTGGTACGAAACTCGAAAACAGCCACGATATTTTTACTACATTGTTTACTTCTAATTAATTTACTTCTAATCTAATTAATTTCTTCGTTAATTATCATACTTAAAAAAGGTAAAAATCTATTCTAAAGTAGCCGACTGATTCCAATGCATCGGACTCCTCACCTTTTCATTTACAAAACTTAAAAAACAGGAAAACCAGAAAATACATAACATAATTAAACAAATTACAACCTGATCTACTGATATCGTTTATGGAGAAGACTTTCTAAGATGAAAAACACAAGTCTGGTCCTTTTGTCATGGTCATAACATACCACTAGCTGTGTGTTGCTTTCGAACGTTGTGATAATAAGCATTTTTTCAATATTTGCACATACAAATGTTTTATATGGTGGTACGAAACTCGAAAACAGCCACGATATTTTTACTACATTGTTTACTTCTAAGATGTTTTCTCCTGTTTTATAGGTCCGATTGGAAGCCTTCTCACGAACACCTTCTCCTGTAGAGTGTGTATTATCACAGGATCTGTTGTTGGTCTGGTTGGCTTTGGTCTAACCAGTCTGACAGAGAATATTTATATTATGTATGTTACATATGGACTAATAGCAGGTACTATACAATATGTTATCAATTTGCATATTTTTTTTAAAAGAAATCACATAATACACAGTGCTCTCAATTAAATTGGTTATCTTTTACACAGATAATAATAATTTGCCAATTTTTTGGCATTTTATTTAATTTTTGGTCTTCTTCACTCAATCAAATATTTTATCTACGATATTAATCCTGCTTTCGTTAATTATCATACTTAAAAAATGTAAAAATCTATTCTAAAGTAGCCGACTGATTCCAATGCATCGGACTCCTCACCTTTTCATTTACAAAACTTAAAAAAACAGGAAAACCAGAAAATACATCACATATTTAAACAAATTACAACCAGATCTATTGATATCATTTATGGAGAAGACTTTATAAGATGAAAAACACAAGTCTGGTCCTTTTGTCATGGTTTTGGACGATAAAATATGTTTTAACTACCGTCTATTATTTTCCATGCAGGCACAAGTCAGTCGTTGATATACACAGGAGTATTAATTTCAGTTGGATACTACTTTGACAAAGGGCGTAGCATAGCAACAGGAGTGGTAGTTAATGGTTGCGGGGTGGCTATGCTTGCACTACCGCCTATTATGCACCAATGTGTCTCATCATTCGGAATTCATGGAGCATTTCTTCTAATCGGTGCGGCTTTTTTCCAGTGCGCAGTATTTGGCGCATTGATGAGACCTAATAGTGTCGAAATGAACAGCAGAAAGGAAAAGAAAACTAAGAACACGGAAGAATTATATGATAACCAATGTGTAAGATTGGGAAATTCTATTAGGAATAGTTTATCTGAGTTGGGAACTGTTGAGTTTTTCCTATTTTGTATTAGTTCGTTTTGCTGGAATGTTAGTTTTAACATTTCTATTCTTTATTTTCCAAAATATTTTAAAACTAATGGCGTTTCGAAGTACGATGTAAGCTATTTGATTTCAGCAACGGGAATCGGTAATATCTGCGGTCGATACCTCGTTGGACTAGCTGCAAGTGACCGTGAAATTGGTAGCCGTCTCTTATATTTTGGACAGTTCAGCTTGATTGGAATTTTCACTCTATTTTTACCATTTTACAAGAATTATGCAATCCAGTTTTTATACATGACGGCCTTTGGAATGTATACAGGGGGTGTATGGATTTTACAGACTGTGATAGTTGTTGAACTGGTTTCCCTGTCCAATTTAGCTTCCGGTTTTGGAATTGTGATGTTTTGTGGTGGATTAGGTCAGCTGGCAGTGCCTCTAATTGCAGGTAATTATTATTCTATAAAACATAATCTCAAAATGAACTGCTGACACAGAGGTATGTCTCACCTGTAGGCATAAAATTCAGATAAAGACAATCTGATGGACAGCAGCAACATTGCTAATTAATTCAAAGTCGCTTGACCAGCTAGTGGATAGGGTCTCGAAATGGTTGACAAACTGAGATGTACAGACAGCAATGAAACTTTATAGAAACTATTGTCTATTGTAAGTAGTTCCTATCAAACTAACTTAATCAGAAAACTTAATATTGAAAATTGTTAATTGATTGAAAGTCACTGGACCATGACCGAGGGGCAGGGCCTCAAAATAGTCGTCCAACTGATATGTAATGTTAGTAATGCAACTTCATACAAAATATCATTGATCTATCACAAGTAGTTCCTATCAAACTAACTTAAGCAGAAAACTTAATATTGAAAATGCCTAATCAATTCAAAGTCACTGGAACATGGCCTAGGGGACAGGGCCTCTAAATTGCTGTCAAACTAATATGTACTGATAGTAATGCAACTTCATACAAAATATCATTGATCTATCACAAGTAGTTCCTATCAATCTAACTTAAGCAGAAAACTTAACATTTAAAATTGCTAATTAATTCTAAGTCACTGGATCATGGCCTAGGGGGCAGGATCTCAAAATTGTCGTCAAACTGATATATTCTGAGAGTAATGCATCTTCATACTAAATATCACAGATCAATCACAAGTAGTTCCTATCAAACTAACTTAAGCAGAAAACTTAACAATTGTTGACGCCGTCACCGCAACCGTCGGCGCAGCAGTCGCCGGAAAAGCAATTCTTAGGTCTCGCTTTCCGCGACTTTCGGCGCAGGCGAGACAATACGGTAAATCAAATACAAAGACTCATTATATGATAGATATAGATACTGAAAATTGCATTTCAATTCAAAATGTACACAAAGTGCGCTGACTGGTTATCATATTTATTCAAAATGAACAATAAAAACTTAAATGAACAAAAGGACATGTGGGGAATCAAGAACCTAACGACATAACAAGACATCTTGAGGTCAACATACACTGTTCAGCAATAGAGAAGTCTCTTTTTTGTCTAGTTAAATCGCACCGTCTAGAGAAAATTAAATTAAACTTAGCGTTGACTTTAAATTATTATAAAAGATCTGCCATCAACACGAAATTCATTAATGACAAAACCATCTATAATAAAAGACATCCACTGATCAGGTTTCTGACCTTGGACAAGCACATAAACATGTGGCTAAATAAAACTAGTTCAATAGTTTTTTCATTAATAGTTCTGGAATAAAATCGTACAACGTGTTACTCAAACTAAATAGTTTGCAACATAATCAAATATTGAATATGCAGTGCCCTCAGACTATGAAATGAAAAGTGCTCTTAGCCTTATTTCCTTGGTACGTTAAATTAAAACCAATGCTCGCATAATGACAACTCGTTTGTGAAAAATCTGTTCGATTAAATTAGAATTTGAACATTTTTCGTAGTTCTGTCTTGGAACATTCACTTTACAAATGAAAGTGTTTGGTTGCCGGAACAAAGTAATATGGCATACCAAATCACACTTGTAAAGCAGTCATTTCAGAGTCTTATTTATTTAATTTATGCATCTTAGACACAAAAAGCACACAAAACACTATTTATACTTTATGAACCCTCAAAACGTCATAATGAAAGTACACTCTTATGAAATTTAGTGGTCTGATAGTTAAACAGTTTCCAGATGAAAATCGTGAACTAAATGTCTTTCAATTGCCAAAATGGATTCCTTTCGAAATTATGTTGATCTGGCTCTTTGTCGTTCAGAGTTTGGCATTCTCCAAAAAATGTCTTGGATTTACAGGTAACATCCCCCATCAAACTGAGGGCTAGTGATTTATCAGGAATCTTTAACTCATTGCCTTGGAAAAAGCCAGACGGGTTACGATATATCGAGGAAAAAGTGAACATGTGAGTATCGAATTGTCATTTGTGTGTAGTCATTACATAATAGAGACACGGGTTTTATTAGCTGTAACTCTTCTTAAATTAAAAATGTCACAAAGTTGTTTATAATTTATGTACTTCCTGTACCTGTATTTAGAATCATTTCTTTTGTAGTTTTTATAATTTTTGTAATTATTTCACTTTGACTTTTTTTATAATATTATTTGGTGCTAGCCCGGAATCCTGCTCTAATCCCTGCGTCTTGTCAGTATGTGCCTTCGAATCCAAAAACTCACCATAACGTATCTAAATGAAAAAAAAAGTACATCAAAGAACAGCCAAAAATTCAAAATCAATCAACGCACCACAACGTTCTTACATGGAAATAAAAAACAAGCTACGCACCATAACGTATCTATATGGAAAAAGGTACATCAAAGAACAACCAAAAATTTAAAATAAATCAACGCACCACAAAGTTCTTATATGGAAATACAAAATGATCCGAGACTAACAAAATCAATTCGATGAGAAACTGAATGAAGTTTTTGAATTTGACAAAAATATTTCGCATCCTAGTTTAAATATAAGTTATTATAACATCTTCTTGATTAGTTGATACTGATTATATTCCAAATAATCATTATAATCCAATTCACGTAACCGCAGGTGTCTTCTTTTGTAGTTCAATTCAAAAATATAAGTTTTATTATCTGGCAAAACACAACTTGATGAGAATTCACAATCCCGTAAATCGCATGAGCTCGTATCACATATGTAGTTTCAAAATATGTACCAGTCGACAGGTATGCGCTCTATACTGTGTAGAAGGTAACGGTTTTGTATCACAGATGTTTTGGTCGTAAACAGGTGTCATTGGGCTTGTGTTAGCAATTTCTCAGTTAGACGTTTGTCAAATCATAGTCACGACATGCTAAAAAATATAAATCAGCTGTGAAACATGTGTTGACATAGGTAAAATTAATCATATTTTGAAAGCACAGCAAAAAAAAAAAAAAAAACAATCAGCGTGTGTAAATATGTTATTTTTCTGTACAGCTATGAATTATATAGTCCAGAAAAGAAATGCCTTCAAACTTTTACAGTTTTAATTATTTGCAGAAATATTGGAAGACAACATCGACAACGTAAAAGATATAGATCTATCAAAAGCATTCGCGGTATCAGGTAAACATAAATGTTTAATAATCAAATAGAGAACAATAAAAAGGCTTTCCCCATGTTCAGAATAGCATTTTGTAGAGGCATATACTATTGTGATCTCAAAAAAATTTGGTAACTTGGTACTTTTGAAACCAAACAGTTACGAAGTGTCTTGTTTGTTTGAAAATTGTACATGTAAAATGTGATATATCAGACCCTACTGAAACCAAAAATATATGGTTGCTAGGTAGTTTCATGAATCGGCAGAGATTTTTCAAACTACCTCTATGGAAGAAAATACTATTATGTGATATGTCATGCATTTAAGACTAAAACAATATATTGGAGTGAGTGACTCTTGGTTGGAATATGTGTCCATTGAAATCCTGAATCCAAACATGTATGGTTGCTTGGTAGTTTCTGAAGAAAAACGTAATTTTGGTTTTACCATGGATGTATTATATTTTATCATTTTACTTCCACGGTTTGAAAAAGATGTATTTACCTTTCAATGTTTAGCTTCATCAATACAACTGTGGAAGCAGATCAGTGTGGATGTTAGTATGTTTCACAGTTTTTTTCTGCCAAAAGTGTTCTCTTTAGGGTTTTATAGGGTTCTATGTTAAACTATGTTCCACAGTGACAGCCATCCTGAATATAATACATGTACCAAACACTCAAAAGTTATCAGTGTCCGGTTTATTCAATATTCGAGACTGTCAAGGAGGAGACCCTACTTGTATGGATTACCAAATGATTAATTATGTTCCACAACTTAGTTTTCGGATAGCTGCAATAATTCAAAATTAATAGAGAAACCCATTAGGTTCATTTCTACATAATGTGGTTTGCATATGCGAGATGATTTATGAGAAACCATATGTATGTACTTCTCGTATGAGAAACCGTATGTACTCCTCGTATGAGAAACCGTATGTATGTACTTCTCGTATGAGAAACCGTATGTATGTACTTCTCGTATGAGACACCGTATGTGCATCTCGTATGAGAAACAGTATGTATGTTCTTCTCGTATGAAAAACGGTATGTACTTCTCCTATGAGAAACGGTTCAACCGTATGTACTGTGTACCTCTCGTATAGTTTCATTTATTTCATATCTTATTTGAGTTTGTCCACAAAAACGGTAAATTAGTTAAAGATCATCCCAGTATCATTAGTCAAAGATCTCGTTAAAATGTTTGAAATTATTTCTTAGATGTCTAATATTCTAAGCGATGACAATAACTCGCATTAAGCTTGGGGCTAGATGAGCTTCTAGGTGCAGAAAGTCAAGTACACTTCTGTTGTGTAATTTTAATTCTTCTTTGAAAATGTCTTATTTTGTATGTTATGATACTGATATAACAATTGTAGCCTTTGTTCGAAACGAGGATATATCGACATGAAAGAAGAATATCAACTGAGATGGAAGTCCCAGGTCGATCTACCTCTTAAAGTTGCTATATCCTCGTATCGACGTATACAAAGGCTGCGACTGTTATGTTATTATTGTCATCACGCCAGAAATGGAATCAAAGAATCAAAATTCAATTGTTTGGCTGTTACAACTGTGTCGCAAGGTATTGAGGTTTATAGATTTCTAGATATTTTTAGATATTCTAAAACTACTGCGCTATAGCACTTTTCAGTCTACCTTTGAAATACAGTGGAGTATTTGATTCTTTTTGAACGAATCTAATGAGTTATAATATACAAAATTAATAATATATGTGAATGTTAATCAAAGGATATTTGGTATACATTAACGATACAGCAACTTACTGACAAAAATAAAAAAAGGACGATGGTAACATTTGTTTGACGAACGGTCAAACGCACGCACGGATAAGAAGAATGCAATATACATGTACCCCAATTCTACAGTATAATAAAAACATATTTACAGAATGATTTACATTTTATCTATGTTTGACGGTCTGTTCGAACCTAAATTATTCATTAACTAGGGCAAAAGCAAGTATAAACTTTCATTTTTGTATTGACAGAAATATACATGTCTGCTTCAGTGACTACACTGTTCTACTTAGCTTGGCCTTGAAATCTCATTGAGATTAGATTAAATATGTCATACCGTTAAAAGGTTGTTTTTCTTAATTGAATTAAGTGAAGTAGTTATTGTACACATGAACAGTTAATTCACCTGGGTTTACCCGACCAGCATACTAGTAAAATGTATATCACCACCATAAATAAATTATAATTTGTGTTTATAGTTTATTTACCAAACAGGAAAAAGGAAATCGTCTACAAGTTGCTATTTTTTTTTCTGAATTAATTGAACTTAACAATTATTGTCTCTCACCATGTCTTCTTTTGAAAGCCCTCAGATATAAGGATAGTTTGGAAGGCATTTCAAAGAAATTGCACTTTTAATTGAATCTGAAGAATAAGTAGACATAGTTTGAGTTTCTTTAGGAGTATTGTCACTGGGAAAGTTAAACAGCTTATCTTCTGCCTCTGATGCATCCATTTTGTTGGAATGTCTTCTCTGAAAATGAGTTTAAATTTATTGACACGACAACATTTTTTCAACAGACAGTATCATACGGAAAAGTCGGGATAAAAGGACCCTCGTTTTTAGGTATCAATACTCCTCTCTGTTACTGCTTCGCCACAACAGTAATGTCTACCTTAAAATTTGTATAACCATAGCAATTTTTGTACTTTTTAAGAAATTGCAGGTCCCCCATTTATGCAAGGTATTACAAAATGAGCAAAATGAAATGTACATTATTTTTCTGGAGGAAACCCTAAAATACATACCTATCTATTTGATGTGACAGGTATACAAACTAATGCCGTCTGATAACCCTCAAGAATATTCCCTATAGAGCAAGCGATGTTATAAAAATTCTATGCATGTCACATTTACTTGATTTTGGTCCTTTTTGTGAATGGTGTTTAGATCCAAATTTAAATTCCTTGTAACCTTGAACTTTACAGTTCATTAGTGATCCGTTTAACACTGAGTTAAGCCATGTCTATATCATTAAATATAAAATATTAATCATATTTATATACGGAATAACCGAAATACCATCGCAATCAGGATACAGCCATTATATTGCATAAAGGTTATCAGGTTTGCATCATTTAATATATAGATTTTTAATCTCTGTTCACTCCAATTTCATTCTGTATTAGCCTTTGAAGTGATCACGCAATGCAGATTAGTCTATTAATTAGGTTAAAGGATATACAGGGCATATAGAAAACAAAATGGGTCTAGAATGTTACTATTGTAAGTAACTATAATTTAATAAGTTAAAAAAAAAGATTTAGAAAGGATTTGGACAGTAAGTTCTAAAGCGGAAAAGTCACTGTAACCTTAACCTTTGACTTTTCAATGTCATATATCAGAGTGATGTTATGGCCGCTTACGACATTTCTCGGGCATTCAAATGTTAGCTCTCTACCTTTTGGAGGGATCTTAGATTTCGGCCAAAACACTGCAAACTTATGGCTTAATGCCAATATTATGTTCCAACATTTGCTTTTTCTCTAACTATTTCGATTTCAAAGTGAATTCCATAACGAGGTCTTAAGCCTTTAATATTTATCAAGGTCTGGGGTCAAGAAGATAAATGCTGAAGTCCTTAGGACTACATGACTTACGGTTTTGACGTTTGACGGAGTTGGGCCAGATTTCACCTCCATTCCTCTGCCTGATACGGTTTCGGTGTACTGTTAACCCATAACATTTTTTTTTGCCCTTCGGGAGTTGATTAGGTAGCACCCCACAGTTATGAGTGTTGTTTCGCATTTTGGCCACGGTGAATTTTTCAAATATGAAAGTTATAGTGCAATAAATTAATTTTTGGATAGCTGATGATTAATATAGCCTTCAAAGAGGGTTTATATGAACATCAAGTATTATATTATGAGCTGTTTTCTATTTGACAGTCCTTATTTTCATATTCATACCAAACTTTGCTCCAGAAATTATTGCAATGTTTTTTCACATTTTTTAGCATCCAATTTTGATTACTCATTTAAAAGATAAATGTCAATGGTTTCAGAAAAGGTATCATTCAAAGGGATTGAAATTCTACTTTGAACTAAATTTTGGGGGAACGTATCACATTTTCATGCCCCTTTTTGCAATCTGTTATAGAAAAAATAAATGCAGAATGTTGCCGTGGAAACACACATAAAGGAATTATATTTCCCCAATTTAATTTTTAAAATTAAATCTATGGAAGATGTTCATGTATGACATAACAGTTCAATTAATTTATTAGAAAGTCAGGAACAGAGGATGATTAAACATTTTGTGGATCAATTCTAATTTTATTTCCTAACTGCGTAAGGAATGAAAGTTCGGTGTGCCAATGTCTATTCCGAATAATTTATGTCCGCTACATACTTGATACATAAAATAATTTTAAAAAGTCGGGTTCTTTTTTCTAAAAGATATTTCGAAAAGTGACGGAAATTATAATTAATTAAAATAATCTTAAGAAATGCATCAAGGTCTTCTCATTTTCTATCGGGTGACCTTAAAAAGCTTTGGTTTACAACCAAAAATGTATCTTGCAAAGCTAAACGGGTTGATAACAATTTTATACGTATATTGATATATACATGTACGTTAAAAGTTAAAGACAATTATTGCATAAGGTTTGAATGTCATGTTCTCTCACTAAATAATACAAAATTTGGAGACTTTGTTGAACGAATCTATCCCATCGAACTAGAGATAAAGGATACTACAGATACAGTTAAGTCTGCCTCATATCTTGACTTACATCTAGAAATTGACAATGAGGGTCGGTTGAAAACAAAACTTTACGACAAAAGAGATGATTTCAGCTTCCCAATTGTGAACTTTCCATTTCTATGTAGCAACATTCCAGCAGCTCCTGCATACGGAGTATATATCTCCCAATTGATACGATATTCCCGGGCTTGTACTTCCTATCATGATTTCCTTGATAGAGGATTGCTGCTCACAAGGAAGCTATTAAACCAAGAGTTCCAAATGGTGAAGTTGAAATCATCCCTTCGTAAATTTTACGGACGCCATCACGAGTTGGTTGACCGTTATGGAATAACCGTTTCACAGATGATATCGGATATGTTCCTTATGTCGTAACTACAATACCCTTCCCTTTTCACGAATGTGACCTACCGAATTAGACTACTTACCGGATTTGTAATAACATAAGCAGCACGACGGGTGCCACATGTGGAGCAGGATCTGCTTACCCTTCCGGAGCACCTGAGATCACCCCCAGTTTTTGGTGGGGTTCGTGTTGCTTAGTCTTTAAGTTTTCTATGTTGTGTCATCTGTACTATTATTTGTCTGTTTGTCTTTTTATTTTTGGCCATGGCGTTGTCAGTTTGTTTTCGATCTATGAGTTTGACTGTCCCTCTGGTATCTTTCGTCCCTCTTTTTGTGAATATGAGAAAGCAATTGTTATATCAAATTCAAGAAATCAATCTTTATATCAAATTCAAGAAACCAATGTTAATGCAGTACTGTTTTCGTGAATTGTTTTTAATAACCATAGTCGTTTTCGGTGGTTCTGTGGTAGCGTGCTCAACTCGAGTGCGGGAGGTTATGGGTTCTATCCTCGTCTGCAAAACTAAATGCTTTCAAGTTAGTTATTGAGACAACATATCCTATTTATTTTCTTTCCATTTTGTTTTGGCTCGCAAGTACATAAATGTAATGGAAACTTTACCTTTTTGTGTGAATTTGAAATTATGTGTACCTGCATTTAAATGAGGATCTTCGTGTTTTTATTCTTTGATTTTTAGACCATTTTTTCATATTCTTAGTTTCATGATCTTTTTGCCAATTATTCTTTATTCTTATATTAGTACCCAATTTTTCTCTTTTCTTTATCATTTTGCCCAATTTTTCTCTATTCTTTTTTTTATTGCCCTTTTTTCTGCAGTTTTCGTTCATTATTCCCTATCCGACCTGTAAACCCTATCAAGACCCTCATACATGTAGGTTAATATGTAGGTTTGCTCTAATGCTTTTTGTATCCTAAAGATTTACTAACCGTATCAAATGTATATAGTAAGTGCATAATTACAGAATCAAAGTCAAACTAACAATATAGAGGGGCGTAAAAGGGGGGGGGGGGGGTATCTGCACGGAAAAACGCGAAATAGAATTGCCATTTCACGATGAACGAACAATTAAAAATTTCTTGCACGTTGATCTTTTTACCGATTTCACGAAACACGGTGAATAACGAACCTTTTTCACGGCTGCACGTGAAATAAAAATGGCAAAACACGTTGCACGAAAATAACCCTTTACCACCCTCAATATAGTCAAGTTAATAGTTTTACATACTTGAAATTTAAAAAACACCCACACACTTGAAATTCCCACTGGGTAAAACGTAGGCTGTGGGATCAAAATACACAACAGGCCTTTTCAACAGGACGTTTAAATAGATATCAAATAGTTGATAAAAAGGAAACACAACCAAATACTATCGCCGAGATCTTATGTCTTATAAAGTTAACGTTTCAGAATAAATACTTTCTTATTCATGATGACTTCGTATTTGAGATTCTTTACAGGGCAGTATAAGGTAGAACTCCTACTTCAAGTTTTAACTGAGAAAAAAATATACATATTGCAATACTAATGTAAATTAGATTTTCTATAAAAGAAAAAGAAAGAAGAAAAGGAATGTTTCTAATGTAGTAGATATAAAATCTTAGTGTTTACCAAAACAATTGAATTTATATTGTTAATAGATATAAGAAGATGTGGTGTGAGTGCCAATGAGACATCTCTCCATCCAAGTCACAATTTGTAAAAGTAAACCATTATAGGTCAAATTACGGTCTTCAACACGGAGCCTTGGCTCACACCGAACAGCAAGCTATAAAGGACCTCAAAATTGACAAGTGTAAATCCATTCAAACAGGAAAACCAACGGTCTAATCTATATCAAAAACGAGAAACGCTTATGAACCACATCAACAAACGACAGCCACTGAACATCAGGTTCCTGACTTAGGACAGGTGCAAACAAATGCAGCGGGTTTAAACGTTTTAATAGGCGCCAACCTTCACCCTACCTGAAACAATAGTGTATCATCACAACATAGAAAGACACACTATAAAATATCAATTGAAATGGCTTAACTCAATCAAAAGACATATTAACAAAAACAAGTGAACATACACTGAACGAACAAATTTGATCTATGACACAATGTAAATACAAAATTAACAAAACAAGGGGGTTAGATGTTTAACAATATCAGAAAGACAACCATTACCTTGGACAAATAAAATAACGTAAACAGGTAAATAAAAATAATTTTGTTGTAAGGTATACATGGAGTACGGAAATAATTTTGTTGTTCCTAGTACGATAACAAAAGATAAAATTTATCGTCATACTTAACACTTATCAAAGGTGGTATATATTAAAAATAGTGAGGCTAGATATAACACTGAATAAGTAAACATCAAATAACAAAAATACATTACAAATTGTATTAACAGGTCTTATCACGAAAGTAAGATTTGAGAGTACTCGCAGTTACTGTAAGCAAGGAATTGTAAATATACAATTCCTTGCTGTAAGCTAGTTAAAAGCCAAAAACAATTAATAACACAAATTCATGCATCAGAGACTAAAATCAACTAAAACACATCCCAGGGATTTAGTGTTTTAACGTCATGGACAGTCAAAGAAGACATGACTTGTGCAATGCCAAAATAAAAGTATCGATAGGCAGTAGGATAGTTAGGAGGTAACCTGTTAATAAATATGTATAATGTAATATATAGATAGAGTAATCTCTATATAGAAAATGAACTTGGATGTGTATTTATACATCCCAAAAAAACCGTTTGAAAAGAATACACATTAAGTTATGTTTTAATCTGCTGATGACAAAAACGATATTTGTGCCAATGTAAACTATATTCAAAGATCTAATTACAACATTGTACATACATAAGATGTAACATGTTTACCAAACCAATTGAATTTATATTGTTAACTACATACATAAAATGTAACACATGTTTGCAATTTGTATTAAAATTGGTTGTTGAAATCTAATGAGTCCAAATAAAAGTTTATTAATTATTAATACATTTCTACTTAAATTAATACCATCATTATGTTCAAATAATTTGACCAGGTGTTTTCTTTCAGTATTAATATATACTTGATAAAAATGCAATAATCCCATTGTAGACTTGACACCCCTACAAGGATATGACCCTTAAACTTTAAAAACAGCTGCATTTTTTGTTACATTCATAACATTACTATGGTAATTAATCCTTAATGTGTGATCACCAAAACAGTTTTAGCTGGTAATTTCCCCCGCCCCCCCTTTGCATTTTGCATCGTTGGATAGATCCTTTATGAAAAGTTACATTCTATTAATATAACCCAGAGTTCCTGACTTATTATTTGCATTGAATGTGTGTGCAAATTTGAAAATAAAACATTTGTGAAGGTGCCAATATCTTGTACGTCTGAAATATATATACAGTGTGTATTTAAAAAAAATAATGAAAGAATACAGAAATGAGACCCCCATCCAGAACCTTCATAGATGTATGCTACAGTGTACATGACACTTGTTTTTGAAATGACTCATATGCGGTATTGTTTTGCTCATTGTTGAAGGTCGTACGGCGACCTATAATTGCTAACATCTACGCCATTTGGTCTCTAGTGGATAGTTGTCCCATTGGCAATCATACCACTTCTCATTGTTTTATATCAAGCAAGTTCGCTTGAGGAATTAATTATTTTAAAACTGTTCAGAGATTCAAAAGCAAATAAGAGCCTTGACAAAACTCTCCATTTCTTGGTCAGCTTTTTCTGTTAAGAGATTTTCGAACATGTGTGTAGCTCCTTAAGATAAACTGCATGTTGGCCACGTGCCTGAGTTAATTTCAATTATGTCAAGTGAGTTAATTATACGTATCTTATTTTTCAGGTTCTCTTTACATTTTATCAGCTATACTGTGTGCATTAACAGCAAGAAAACCGTCGTCTAAATGTAGTTCTGTAACAAACGTAATGCTTGATGACGAAAATAAGACACATAATGACATTGAATTAATTGGTGAATTAGAAATGGAGTTATTTATAGATAAACGTTAAATTTTTAATTGATGGTTTGTTATTTTAAAGATTTATCTGTGAGAGGAGCAAAGGTAATTATAGAAAACTGACACTTTAGACTTGATCTGAAATATTATTTTTTGGTGGTACCTGCTTGCAATCATAAAATGCTTTAAAGGAGACTCCAATAGACAATGTTTTGACATTTCTAATATAATTACCTGCATGGGCCGGTAGTTAGTTTTAGAACCTTTTTTGTTTTCAAAAGTTCTACATAAAGTATGCCTTTTATAAAACTTATTTTATGCACACAATATGAATGTGTCATAGCAGTAGGATATCATGCTATATAAAACGTAACTGCTTGGGCCGTAAGTCATTGTTACTAAATGAATTCTTGGTTTAATCTCTCACCCAGATATTTGCTTATATGTCTTGCTCATTTAGTTGTTTTGTTTAGGTGAAAACAGCTTTTTATTGAAGTTTGATATTGTAATATTATGATCACTGAAAAGATTGTTGACAAGGACATTGTCTCATTGTTATTTTGCAGAACTTGCATGGGCTGGTACTGTATTGCAACTTATTTATAGCTTTTTTATATATTATTAATCACATTTAGTATTTTCACTGTTAGTTAAAAACATAGATTTAGCTTGAAATAATATAGCTAATATGTGAAATTGAACATCTTGTGATAGCATGAATAACTTTTTAAACATCAAATATGACGAACAGTTTTCTTTTTGCGAAGTGCTTGGCCTTTGTGGGGTAGGAAAGATTTATTTTATTGCATCTTTCCTGGTGGCTTAGTTGACCCCTTCCTAGGCCAAGCTATTGTATTCTGTATTATTTTATTATCGTTTTATGTTTTGTATTCATTATTATCAGAGACACATTATATGTCTCTGTTATTATCTTGTTGGAAAATGTATATGTATATATTATATATTGTTTATTTTTGTATGAGAAACATTTTTACTCTGAATAAGTAAAAATATTGCAATTCATCTCTTGTTTCTCTTTTCATTTATGCATTGCCCAAATGGTCCAATACATTGTTAAATACATGAGATACTCGCTGATTCATTCAATTGAATGGTAAACCTCTGGTTGTTTGTTTTGGGTTGAAGGAGGAAAGCATAAAGGTAATTATAGAAAACTGAGATAAAAAAAAAATGGAAACACTTTATAAATTATACAGAAACTATAAGGTTTCAACTCCCTCAAGCAAAGTTGGCCTTTAGATGGATTTGGCTATCTTTTAGGTCCTTTTTGGTTTATAGCTCTTCAACGTTTTCGGTCCTTATACATCATTGACTTTCAAATATTTGGCTTTGAGCGTTCTTGATGAAGGAAAATCCAGAAAAGCGCTTCGAACGCATGAAATCTTTAACGTGTTGTTTTCAATTTTTTATATATTTAATGCGTCCGAAGGGCTTTTCTGGATTGACCTTCATCAGGAACGATCAAAGCCGAATATTTAAATGTCCGAATGTATAAGAATCGAAACAGTTGAAGAGCTATATGAGTATGGAGGACCTAAAAATAATAACCAAATCCATCTAAGATTAACTTTGCCTTAGGGAATTGAAACCTTAGTTTCTTAATATTTTTTAAATGTATAAACGGACAATCTTAGAAAGGTTTGTTACAAATCATGCCAGTGCCGAAGTAGAGATAACCGACTTATCACTATAGTTTTATTTGTAATGAGCAACACGACGGATGACACTAGTGGAGAAGGAACTGCTTCCCAATTCGAAGCTCCTGAATTCATCCCCTGTATTTGTTGGGGTTCATGTTTCACACTCTTAAGTTAACTGTCTAGTGCTTTGAGAACTGCTTTGAACATATAGTGTTCAGTGGCGGATCATTATAAGGGGGTGGGGGGGGGGGGGGGGAGGGCACTGACTGCCATAAGAGGGGGCCCGCTACAGTCATGCTTCAGTGATTCTCTCTATAATCAACTAAATTTTTTCCACGAAGAAGGGGGGGAGCAGGTCCCCCAGGGCCCCTTGCCTGGATCCGCCTATGGTGTTGTCTGTTTTACTTCGATCTTTGGTTTTTGATTGGCCGTTGGTATATTCCCCTTATTTACAATACTTTTGTTTGAAGTAGAGCCAATGTCCATAAACAAGAGGCTACTAAGAGCCTGAATCGTTGACCTGGTAAAATATGCCCGGTTAGATATTTATTTTACTTTTATTGCAATCAGTCATGTTTGCTTTTTTGTACATTTTATTTAGTGACATTTTTATAATTCTAATTTTAATTATTTCATTTGATAAATTTTTTTTTACAAATATATATTTACAATAAAAAGTGAATACGACAAAACCCATATTCACGTAAACATTATAAACATTGTTATTAGTAGAATATATTTTCTGTATATCGATGCCGTAGTTCAGCTCAAATATAATATGTATTCTTTACCAACACTAAAACTGAAAATCAAGAATTACCCCTCTTATTATGACAATAAAATGCTCATCTGCATATTGTTGAATTTTCTATAACCTCTCAAAATAATATTTTAATGTGTCAATCATTATTTTACAAAATATGTTTTCTATATAACAAGTATTTCACAAAAAGATCTAAGCTGTTTTCCATTGTATTATAAATTAGAGGCTCTAAATAAGAGGCTCTAAAGCGCCTATGTCGCTCACATTGGTCTATGTGCATATTCAACGAAGGACACTCTCCAAACTTGTAGACGAGAAAAGAATTCATGACAATCTGTTTTGTTGATATTGTATTGCTGATCATTTAGTCTATTTAGTTTCTCTCTATCTTCTTTAGTTTTTGCTCAAAACACAAGAGGATTAAAAACATCCTCATTTAAGGGCAATCACTCCTATAAAGAGTGAGAGTCTACTAACTATATCTGAAAAAATTGACTTGTTAGTAGATCTTGACTTGCTGATCATTTTTGTGATTCAAAGTGTCTATTTACAAATGTATCTATTATAATTTTTTATCATATATGACAAAAAAAAAATGGTGAAAATCGTCTTTAAAAGGCAATTACTCCAATAAGGAGTTGTCAGACGGTTCCCTTCATTTGTCTTAATTGTAGATCGTGTCTTGCTGATCATTTTTGCTTATTTAAGTTTCTATCTATCCATCATAATTTTTAAGATACAAGGCAAAAACGCAAAAAATTGGTAAAAATCGCCATCAAAGTACAACAACTCTAATAAGGAGTCAACTGATAGTTTCGACAAGTAGACCTATTTGTAGAACTGGTCTTGCTGATCATTTTTGAAATATAAAGTTTCTCTCTATCTATTATAGTTTTCAAGATAACAGGCAAAAATGAAAAAAAAGGTAAAATTTGTCATTTAAGGGCAATAACACTATAAGAAGTGGTCTTACAGATTTGACGTATAGAAAAATTGGTAAAGCTCAACGTTCTGAACATTTTTGCTCTGTCAGATTTTTCTCTTTTTATAACGGTTTCAAAATAATAGAACAAACTTGCATTTTACATTTTGTACCCTATGTTCTATTTTTAGCTATCTCGGCCATCTACGTTGGCAAGCGGGGTCACTGGACACATTCTTTAAACTAGATACCCCAATGATGATTGTGGCCCAGTTTGGTTAAATTTGGCCCAGTAGTTTCAGAGGAGATGATTTTTGTAAAAGTTAACAGACAATGGAAAATCGTCATTAAAGGGCAAAAACTCTTAATAAGGAATTGTCGGACGATTTCATTCAGTCAGTCTTAACTGTAGATCTTGTCTTGCTGATCATTTTTGCTAATTTAAGTTTCTATCTATCTATTATAATTTTTAAGATATATAAGGCAAAAACGCAAAAAAATGGTAAAAATCGTCATCAAAGTGCAATAACTGTAAAGGCACTTTTATATTTTCCTGGCATATGAACACTTAAATAATTTTCTTTATGATATTCTTGTTTAAACAACCTATAGGTACGCAGTTTACTGCGATCATTAAATTTTGTGTTTAAATCATTACACCATTTTCTTTTGTACATATCAAAAACATTATTTTCAATATTTTTAATATTATTTTTATTAAAAGTACAGTTTATATTACAAAAATTTTCAATATTAAGTTCTCTAAATTTACTATGAACTCTAAAATTCCAGTTTTTAATTTTACTGTTACATATTCTATTTGCCCATAAGAACACTTTTTTATTTAGTCTGGTATTATTCATTTTCAAAAATCTTAACCAATTTCTAAAAATACATGACCATTGTTTAATTATACATGGCACCCAGCCCATATCTCCATATAAAGATAAATTTGGGGTATATTTTCCAACACCCATAAAACAATCGCATGGCTCTTTTTTTAATTGCATTAATACATGTAAATTCCCTAGCTCCCCATATTGAGGCACCATATTCAATAACTGACATAACCAGTGTATCAAAAAGTTTTGTAAAAATTGATAACTCAAAACCACCATTAGCTTTACTTTTGGCAATTAACAAACCTAATGCCCTACTGGCAGACTTAGCAACAGCTTTTGCCATATCTATATAATTCAAATATTCATTTAACACTAGTCCCAGATATGTATATTTTTCTACAATCAAAGTGTTTCTATAATGGTTCCTATTTTGATTAGAATAACAAAAACGGAATTTTTATGATCACATATTTTATTTTTACCTGGTAAAATATTGGAAAAAATACAAATTAAAATAAAAAGATAATAAATAAAAGAAAAACAAACTGAAATAAAAGAATCCGTGAGGTGCGTAAAATGCAGATATAAGATGCTACAACGAAACTTAATTTTTAACATACATTTAAGTTATACAAATATTTTTAGCGGTATGTTGACGATTCTAAAAGAATAAATAAATGTTTGGGCTTGGTATTTGTGGTGTCGTTTAACAGAAAAAATGATTATGCATATGCTATGCAGCAGTGGTGAAATACTAATACAGGGTCAGAAATAAAATAACGAATGTCTTTTATAGAGACTGAGTGATCCTTGATACAGTCAGAGATAAGATAATGAATTTCTATTTAAAGTAGTTTAGATTAAATATATTTTATTTGCAAAAGTAGCAAAAGGGATTGGACACAAGTTATAACAACATTAGTGACGTTCTCTCCCTATAAAAATATAAACACAAAATAAATTAGATAATGATGAAAAACTTAGTAGGAATGCATGTAATATATATACAAACTACAAACAAAAACAAAAAATACAAAATAATATGGAAATTTTATATATATATATTTTTATTTTATTCATTTATTTTTTTTTTTTTTGGTAGTGGGGGCGAACTTATGTTCAATTAAAATTATAGGACAACGGAGATTGCGTACGTGGGTTCGATTCCCACCCTAGGCATTCATTTACATCGGCTGGTGCAAAGCGGGTAGTTAAGCTTAGTGGCCTTGCGCTGACTCTGTTGTTTCTATGTCTAAAAATTCTGCCGGTCGCTGCCAAGTCTTGCTATCTTTCTTCTTTTTCTGTTTCTTTTCGAAGTCCAGATTTTACAAAACCATGGTAAAATGTGAAAATTATACCATAGATTTATACTCGGGTTGCATTCCCACAGGCTCCATTGTACAGCTATAGGTTAATTAAAATATATTTTACTATTTCATAAATATGCAATTGATATTAAGTGAATATAAGTTTTGTCCTATTCACTTTTTATTACAAAGTCTTAAAAGAAGCTTATTTGCGTTCTGTATGTGCCTGTCCCAAGTCAGGAGCCTGTAGTTCAGTGGTTGTCGTTGGTTCATGTCTGTCATATTTGTTTTTCGTAAATTGTTTTGTTATAAATTAGGCCGTTAGTTTTCTCAATTGAATTGTTTCATATTTTCAGGTCTGGGCCTTTTATAGTCGACTATACGGTATTGGTTTTTCTCATTGTTGAAGGCCGTACGGTTGTCTATAATTGTTTAAATCCACTTCATTTGAACTTTGGTGGATAGTTGTCTAATTGGAAATCATACCACATCTCCTTTAATATTTTTATATTATTTACGGGATGGCAT